TGTTTACCGAAGGGTTGGTGCTTTTGGGGAAAAATAGTATCAACCTGGTGAAGGTATACTCAAAAGAGAGGTAAAATAGAGGTAGCAATGCTGATCTTGAGGAAAAGCTTTCAGGCTTTTCAAGTGTGAAAAGCACAGTAAGCCAGAGGTTTGTTGTTACAGGTGTTACAGCCAGGGTTCCTTCCCATTCCTTAGAAAGGTCCCAAAACCGTTGGACTGGCATAGTCTGGCACCCTTTCAGCAATACATTAGAGAGAAACCTGTTCAGACCAGGGAACTTATTTTTCCCTTCTTAAATGCAGGTGAATTAAGCGATCATGAAATGCATTACACTGGCAGCCTAAGAAACCGAAATCCTCTGTTCTGGATCTCTAATCCCCAGGGCACTTTTGTCTCCTGCAGGATAGATTGTTGGGTCCGTTGAATCCGAGAGCGGCGCTAAAAATACTATTGCTTTTCAATACCTGCACACTTCTGCTCACCAGGTCTCCACTGGGAAGGTCTATAGCATTAAGATACAGGTCAAGCAGCCACTTACCCACTTATTTTAGCCTATAAATGTTCTCACTTCCCCTAGGATCAGTATATTTGCAACAGTAGACATGAAAGTTGAGTTCAGAATATTACAGCAACAAAGCCTTCCCAAGTCACCCAGCCAGTTAAAGCTAGTACCTCTCCTCATCTCCCTTCATTCACAGACATATAGCCCCAACTCTCTCCTACTTAAAAAAAGCCTGCAAAAAGAGGTATGCCTCCCAGGAAGCCTCAGGATAAACAAACTCACTCTGCATAAGGTCCAGGAGGAGGAAGAAGGTATGTTTTCCACTTATGTGACCGCTAGCTTACATGCCACCTCTTATCTGGGAGGCAGGCTGCTGGTGCACAGTGAGATAGGAGAATGAAGACCCAACAGCGTTATCACGTAAAAAGCTCACGCACATGCCTGCTAAATTGCACCTACCAGAATATAAAAGCGAGCCACTTGGCTGCTAACACAGAACGTGTTTGATTTAATGAGTTGTGAACTGTGCAAAGACCATGAGGTCTCTCATGAGAAGATTAGGGCTGTTTCTCACAGCCCCAGCCATTCTATGGGTGGCTCGGTATTGCACGGGTTGGGCTAGGTGACATCTTCTTCATTTCCTGCTTCCTCCCCGCCTCCCCATACAGATCACAAGATGACAGGACAAATGTTTTATCCACGTTAAATCTTTATTCATTTTCTCAAGACAAACAACAGAGAAGTAGTATAATCACGCTAATGTGGTGCTTTTCAAACTGTGGTCGCCCTAACAGTTTAAAACTGTATAAATGAGTAGAAGAGACAATTACACTGAACTACGCAAACAAGAGTAAGCCGATCTCTGTGTGCAGTAAAACAGGCTTCTGTATTTTTATGACTGACTATAATGGCTATAGCCAGTATTAAAGTCGTCTGGTATTTATTACAAGAGCCTGATTTTTTTTTTTTTCAGCTGCTTATTACTTTGCCATATTCTTCATTTTTGTGCCAAATCTTTCTGTGTAAGATACAAGACCTCAAAATTGTCAGAAAACTCTGGCTAAAGCTGCTCTGTCATTTCCAACAGCAGCAGCAAGAAAAACATTTTGTGAATGTTAACTTCTGGCAAAAGTTCCTTAGGGAAGCTTTAATATTTCTATGTTTTAACAAGTATTTCCTGGATTTTAAGTCAAAGCAATGACTAGTCTGTGCTGCCCTCCACGCTGCCCTGGATAGCCCAGCTGGCCCAAATATCTCTACACAGTAGTTCCTTTAGAGAGTGTAGAAATATTTTACACCTGTAATAGCTGCTTTGGGCCAGCATCAAAAGAAAGAACAGGGGCACGTCTTCCCCATACTCTTGCTGACCTCTCCTCTTAGTGCTAACGTAGCGGGGGGAACTAGACTGCCTGAATTAAGTGCAAAGAGGGGCAGAGAGACCTTAATTTAACCTGGTGGGAAGAGATGGGCGCTTACAGCTGGCAGAGGGAGCAGACGGGAATTTGAACAATGAGCTAGAGAGAGAGGCAAAGGGGGAAGGCAGTAGATGAAGACTTAGGCAGTCGGACACAGAGCAAAACAGTAGCAAGAACCAGAAAAAAAAGAAAGGGAGGGACAGAAGAGTAAGAAGAGTAAGGGGCGAGAGGCAAAACAAACCCAGCCGATGGGTGGAGGAGGGAAATTGGGTCTGCCTGGGTAAGCAGGGATGGCAACTCAGAAAAACACATTTATACTTGCTCAACAAGAATATTTGTACTAAGATGAGAACCTGAGGCGTGGAGGTTGGAATGAGCTAAATGAGGAGTACAGAAGTAGAACAAGGGGAAAGGACGGAGAGCTGGGTTGGCACCTGTGAACACCACCCTCTGTGTCCACTGGACCTCAGACCTGGCTAGCAACGCTCGTTGTAGGCATGGCTCTGCCCCTGCTGCCGGCAACACCCAGAAAACCCACCAGCTAATTTTTCCATCCCTGACGGTAGACCACACAACAGATAAACAAGATGAACTGTTGGCTGTTGCGATTAATCATGGCACTAATACACGTGGAAGAATTTGCTTCAGTGGATTTAGATGTTCCCATTGCCCTCAGCACCCACAATACAGCACTAGATGACTGTACCACTCTATTTTTTGCTTTGTATTTTTCAAAGCGATGTAAACAATCACATACAAGAGAGAAGAGGGCTGTTTAAGTCCATTCCCTACTTGGGGAACAGAGATTTGAAAGCAGCTCTCCTACTTCCCAGGAAAGCCTAAGAGGTAGAGGGCTACTCTACAAACCTTCCAGCGAACTGTCACCAGTGTCGGGAGATTGCTGCGGTGTCACCAAGGGTATTGCCCGTGGACAGCTGGGTTGCACCAGCAGTATTCAGAGACCATGTTCATCCACTTGAATTTCTGCTAGTGCCACTGATGCACTAGAAAACTTGCCTTGACTTCCATCTCCAGGAAAGAGTATCTTTTCCTCATACACAAGATGACAAGAGAGATGGAATGCCTTTTTTTTCATGTTGTTTAATATATACATAAAATATATATAAAGCATATAAGTATACTTTTTGGAGTACAGCTATTTGGGGAATAACATTTCTTTTAAAATAAATGTAATAAAACCCCCACTCAGGTTGAATATAGAGAGAATTAGAGGAAACAGATGCGAGATTTTACCTAAGTGGGGATTATAAAATCAAGTCCAGAAGAAAGGAACATTCCCTCTACAGTACAAAATAGCATTGTCTTGCCTGTAGGCATTACCGCAAGCAGAGAAGATTCACTGTACCAGAAATAGAGCGGCAAAACCACCGACAAATCTACCACTGTGTTTATGGGGCGGTACAAAATTCATCTCTGGCTTATGCCACTGAAATTCAGTTGAAAGCAAAGTGGAGTTGCCAGATATTTGGATGTGAGTCTATCGGAGGAAGAGGGATGGCTGTGTTGTCCCAGAGAGTTGTTAGGAGCAGGATCCTGGAAATTCGGTGAAAATGGCATTTACCTACACAGCTGCCATTAATTTAAGTTAATTCCCTAATTGCCTGACACTCTCCACCTTTGGTTTTAAGTGCTTATGTGTTGCTCCTCCCTGACTTCAGCCAGAGGCATAATTTTCTGCTAGGGTGAAACCAAGAAGCCGTCACAGAGACTAAGACTGTCAGGAATTGCTGTCAGTTCCTAACATAAAAGCCAATTAAATCCCCCTGCTAATTACCTACCACCACAACTTTTGTTTAAAAGCCGCTCAAATTTTAAACAGTTGGGTATCTAAACAAACAGGCAGCAAAGTAAGTTGTGCATCTGGTTTTAGTGTTATACACTAGTAAAGTTAAAGCTTCAATATTGTCTGGGGGTACCTTTAATAATGAACAGAAATATTTTCCACTTTAAGTCCTCCAGAAAACACATTAAACACTGAAATGTAGACTAACAAACTTTTAATTTCTATCTCCAAATCCCTGTCCAGCCTGAAAGTCAAATATAAAACTTACTTTACCTCACCTAGAACAGTACATAACAGCAGCTGCTTTCTTAGACAGGTTCTCTCAGCTTTCCCCCCAGGATGTCCAGTTAATGCTTTGCAAATGTCTGTTTCCTATCCCAACTGAAATATTTCTATTTTTAAGAAATATGTTTGTATATGTATGTGTGTATATATAGGTACAGAGAGAGAGAGAACACGCATGTATCTTATGTCAAATAAAGTGAGATATTTTCTGCGGGAATAAAAAACCAGCCCCCATCCCTCCTCCCAAATGTAGAAATTAAGAAATCCTGTGCTAAGAAAAATAAACTGAAAGGCTAAACCTCTGCGCACTCAACAGAACCTCCTGCAAAAGATTTATGTAGAGAGTATCACTGTTTCTCCCCTGCCCCTCTCTAAAGCACAGGCTAACAAACATAGCAAAGAATAGTTCAGGCTCTGTATTCACAGGTTTTTCGGTCAGCATTCAAATATTCTCGAAACAGTTGCCTTTTACCCCCAAATCAAGGAAGGCCAAGACTCTCCTTTTGCCCTTACCTACTCTTTTGTCTCGTACAGACTGTGAACACCTCTCAAAAGATAACCACGTCCTAGACAAAAATTACAGCAGAATTACTAAAGCATGGAGAGTTACTGATTGTGGATGATTGGTATTTCAGGATTAGGTATTTCCTAATAAGTATCTCCTTAGGGTGGTAGTACACCTTGTCCCGTGTTTGGCCAGCCAGTGGATTAGGGAGAAAATTTCTCTTGTAGATCACTGTACTCTTTAGAAAGTCAACACATACACTACTTAAACGTTATTTACTGAGAAACACGTGGTGATAGCTGCCTTGCAGAATAAGCAGGAAACATGTATGGGTTCAGACATAAAATCCATTACTCATGCTAAAAAAAGGATGAAGAAAACTACGTTTTACTCGCCCATCTCAGAGAAGCAGTAAACAGTCTCTAGAAAAGTCATTAAGCAGAAGTGTAGAGGGCTGGGAACGTTGAGCAACTGCGTTAGGTTATTTACCTGTTTCGGTGTCTCCTTGGGGTGCACGACAATAACAGCAATCCATGAAGATAACATAGTTGAACACATTGAAGAACAGACCTGCAAGCCCAACAACAAGGACGAGCAGTGCTTTCTCAGTCTTCTGAGGATTGATAAACCTCTTGATTGCCTCAACGAAGATGCTAAACATCAGAGCGGTGGCAAAAACAGAGTTGCCAAAAGCTCCCAGCACATCTGCCCGGCTGAAGCCAAAAGTGTTAGCTTTGTGCCATCTGATGCGACTGAACCTAACAGTGAACAAACCGATGATCATGGAGATCAAGTGAGAGAGAACAGCAAAGGCATCTGAAGCTAAGGAAAGAGAATTGCCAACGTAGGCTACTGAGATCTCAACAGCAAAAAGCACAAGGCTCACCACGCACATAAGGATGAGCCTGATGCTCCTGCCCGAGTAGCGACCCATTTCTCTTGCTCTCTTCCCCTTACTCTGAGGTTCTGCAAGACAGAGGTGTGCCAGGAGCAACTCACTGCCTGTGATTCTGCCCTTCACCTGTCAGTGCTGCTCACATGCGGGAGCCACTTTTATAGGAAGCAGTAAAGCAATAAATCAGTTTAAAGGGCAGTTTAGCAAGATTCGTCATGTGAAGGCAGTCTGAAGGCTCCAGTCCTGTAGGGGTTCCACCCTCAGGAAGCTTTTTTTCCTACAAAACCAAAAATAAACCAAGGGAGACTACCGGGAGCACCAGCACTTGCTACTCTACCCAAGAGCACTGTCCTAAAAAACTGAGTAAAGCCCAGACAGGAGAGCGTAAGAAGGTGGCTCACAATTTTAAGCAGTTAGAGAAGGCATATTTTTTTGCATAAAACTTTCCTCCAATGTCTGTTTTGGCCATTTCTGTTGCCAGTAACTTTAGTACTGAGAAAATACTACACGCCTGTGGAAGAAGGCATTTGAAATCCATGTTGGGTAGACATTAATTTTAAGAACACAGTAAACGTGAACTGCCGGCGAGGGTAGTTGAACATGTTGTCCATAGAGCAAGTTTCAAAGACAACTGAATTGATCTTCCATTTTAGCAACCTAGTTCTCAACTGCTTGTACTTTTGGCACGTTTTAACGTTGCTCATGGACATGGAGCAAAGTTGGAGGCCATTTTTTAAATATGCGACCAGTAGACGCGGAAGCTGAGCTTTAACAATAAACCCAAAGCACATTATTTCCCGTTTAGAAAACCCTGCCTATCTCAAAATCCCAAAGTAATCCTCACACACTTGCAAGGAAGAGTCAGATTTGGGGAAAGCACAACCAGAAGTTAAGGGGGAAATAAGAGCTGCAGAAGTCCTAGCTTGGTACTTGGTGCCATTTCTGGAACAAAGAACCTGAAGCAGTAACTTTTTTTTGTCACTCACTGTACTACCTGTTGAGGTCTTGAGTGTACGCACAGGAGTTTATGCACACTCACAAACCCCAGTGAAGGAAATCTAGCTGCTAATAGCACACTAGGCAATATGGATAAGACCAGGTGCCTTCCTTGAAAAGTTTATGATCCAGTTTTTGTTTGAAATGCCCATCTGTGTACCTATATACACACAGTTACAAGATAAAACAGAAGGAAATTACATGCAGTACAGCCATAGAGAGATAAGATAGTACTGATAACCTGAGCTGACCAACTGTCCCTGCCGGCCTTAGACTTCCCAAGGTGAATTAACTTTAGGTCAAAAATGCAAACACCCACCCCCATTTTTCATTTATTTTTTTGCTCACAGGGTTTCAACAGACAAAATATTTATGTTTAAAGTCCAGTCTGTTAGAAGCCTTGCCCAGCCAAAATTTATGTTTAAAGTCCAGTCTGTTAGAAACCTTGCCTGCCAACAGATGTAATTTTTAACATTTGGTCATTCGTTTACCTACACACGGCGGCTGCAGCTCTTGAGAGTTCCGCCCCCCCACTACCTTTTAAGAACACCACTAGCCCTGGTAGGGTGAATTAGTAGAACTAATTACAACATTGAAACGGGTACTTGCTCTTCTTCCTCTTCATCCTCTCCCACCTGTGTTACTACTTCTATTCCAGCTATTTCTATGGTGTTCTCTTCCATCTTGTATTAATGCTCAACCACTTATTTTATTATCTGAACCACAGAGCACGAAAAGTGAGAATTTTTTTTCAAGAGTTATTCTCCTTTCAATGGAAACAGACCAAGGTTAAACTTCAGAGCTCTCAAAAGTCCTGCCTTACACAAGACTTTGATTACCAAATCATAAGCTCGAGCTACCTGAAGCATTCCCTTTGCAGCAGAGCTAAAATACTCATGTGCTCTACTTTGTCAATAAGGAGCAGCACCACGTTAAGGCAGTTCCACTACATCCCACCTTGCTATGCTATTTAACCCAAATTTATCAGTATACAACTATAAGAACTAAGGAACACGAAGAGACTTGCAGTTCTAGTGTAAACACAAAGCAGTATCATTTAATCAGCTGTAGTATGTTACTCTGATTCATATACTTATTTTCCAAGAGACACAATTTATTAAGATTCTGCAAGTTTTTTTATACCAGTATAATTAAGAGTATGGATGTTTGTATAAGGCTTTACAGATAGCTGTGCTGGTTTTGGCTGGGATAGAGTTAATTTTCTTCCTAGTAGCTGGTATAGTGCTGTGTTTTGGATTTGTGCTGGAAACAGTGGTGATAACACAGGGATGTTTTCGTTATTGCTGAGCAGTGCTGACACAGAGTCAAGGCCTCTTCTGCTTCTCCCACCACCCCACCAGCGAGCAGGCTGGGGGTGCACAAGAAGTTGGGCATATAAAGCTGGGGGACAAGAAGGAAGGGGGGACGTTCGGGGTGATGGCATTTGTCTTCCCAAGTAATCGTTACGCGTGATGGAGCCCTGCTTTCCTGGAGATGGCTGAACACCTGCCTGCCCATGGGAAGTGGTGACTGTTTTGCTTTTGCTTTCATGTGTGGCTTTTGCTTTACCTATTAAACTGTCTTTATCTCAATCCATGAGTTTTCCCATTTTTACCCTTCCGATTCTCTCCCCCATGCCACTGCGGGGGAGTGAGCGAGCGGCTGTGGGGTGCTTGGTTACTGGCTGGGGTTAAACCACAACAATAACTCAGATTGTGCTTCTGGCGGAAGGATACTTGAGATGGACGTGTCTCTCCCAGGCAGGCATTAGCTTCTCCTCTGTGGAAGATCACCACAGAGATCTGCAGGTGAGTCATCCACACTCCATACACTACAAGCCCTACTATAATCAGGAAGAAACATGCTGAGGAAAAGAATTAAAAAACCCCAAACAATCAAAGGGCTGGGCTTCCATGAAACCTCTGGCTTCAAACAAATTCATTTATAGGTTGAGAGCAACTCATTTCTAAGAACAGTGTTGTCAACATGTTTACTCATGAATTTGATCCAGTCAACTGGTTGAAGGTTGGCCGTTTGTTCAAACTGATAAGGTTGCAGCAGTATTGGAGACTGCATTTAGTTTTGCCTTTCCTTTGTTCTGTGCTATTAACAGCTTCCGCATCTCATTTTTAAAATACCAATGTTGCAGAGTGTTTTGATGGGAGCTGAAAGTGCTCATCTATTCTTAATAATGTTTTGCTCTGTCAAAAAATCTTGGCGCTCTCCTGTCTCTCATGCCTGAGGACATTGAAGCTGCTTGGTACTGCCTCTCCCCTTCCCCCAGCATGAGTGCGCTGCAGTAGGCAATACCTCTGAAGACTAGTCTTAGGTACCCATCATTTGAGGCTGGGAAAACATCACTCTGGTATTACTACTTACACTCTTTCTCAAAGTGTAATTCCAGTCAGTGTTAGAGACAGCACACCAGGATAGAAAGACCTTAGGGCCGCTCTTCTGGTATGTCAACTGAAAACAGAAGATGAATGCATGCATTGACATATCACTCCCCAAATCCTTTGCTCATTACTGCCCCCGAGACTTTGTCTATATGGTGAGAAAATATCTAGAGAGATGAATGCAAGACACATGATTTCAAGATGCAACTGAAGCAAACGCTTCAGGACTGATCATCATCCAAGGAATATTACAGAGAATTTCCAAGTGCTCAAGCATTCTGAGCAAGCTGATCTGAAATACTTTATCATTTCTGCACTTTTTTTCTGAAAAACTGGGGTACTATCACAAGGTGCGTGATCCTAAACTGGAGAGACCACTGGTTCAATTTAATATTCAAAATTTTGACTAGGAAGGCTGACCACAGGAATCTGGGCAAAAGCAAACATTCTGCATGCTTTTGAAAAGCAGAGAAATGTGAAGTTCTGGGAATAGCACTGCAAGTCGCCTGTATGCTTAAGACTTTTAGACTATTGATGCTACCTAAAATAATGTAGTCATGTAGTATTGTCCCAGGAGGAGTATGTGGATCTTGCTGGTCCAACTTTTTAATTGCCAAGTTTTCACTCAGCTCTTTTCAGGGAAAGGTGTTTACGTAGATGGCCTTCAAACATACAGGAAAAACAAGGAACAAATTAAGCATGCGTCATCCAAAAGTTAGTTTGTACCAGGACTAACTTTTTTTTTTTTTAAGTCAATTGTATATTGAGAGTAGAAGTTTGGGGTTTTTTTTTAAATAATTTCATAACTCTGCAACATCCAGCCTTCTCTGCTAAAGCAACACAGGAAAAGCAAAAGGGTTTTATGGAACATGTTATAGGTATAATCACAGCCTAAAATCTTTAGCACTGAAAATACCTCTCTTCAGATTGCCTTTGCATTACTCATTGCAGTATCACTGCGAGACAGCTATAAAATGCCAGTTCGTAAGATAAGAGAAACAGGGCTTCGCAAAATATCTTCAAGAAATGGCATTCACCTGCATCTTGCTAACAATGTGGCATTTCATTTAAGAAAGCCTTTCAAACTTGTTTTACGATGGGGTGAAAATACTCCTTGAAACTCCTGGCTCCAGAGGGAGTTTTCAAAAAGGGTAGCATTTATCCTGCCTACAAGTTAGCTGCAAGTCTGTACTGAAAATTGAAAAATTTGAAGGCAAAATTAAAAGCAGATGCTTTACCTATAAAGTTTATGTCAGCACACTAAACTGTACTGTAGAGTGTTTACGATATTCTCTCCGATCTTTCAGGCATTTTCTCAGTGTACAAGAAAATATATGCACCAAAACAGAAAAAAGACATGAGCAAAGAATACCTAACCTCCCCATTGAGCAACACAGAAAAAACAACCAAAGCATATTACAGCTCACAATACATGTTTATTGTTAGAGGTGTTTACAGAAAAGTCTGTGAATTACTGCTAGCCTAAGACTGACAATCGGGGGGGTTTATGGTTTATGGCTTTGTTTTTTGAATCATTTAAAAAGTCGCAAAACTGATTAAGTTTGGGGGCTATTTCAGTTTTCTTAAAAAAAGTTCAATTCACAGATAAAGGAGAAGGTGCTTTCGCTAGTAATTTAGTAACTACGA